GTACCTGTTTTCAAACCGCTCGGACGGACGGCGGACTGAATGGTCGTTTGAGCGTACCCCCCCCCCCCCCCCGGCCGTGTTGTTAGTATAAGGTTTTGTTCGGCTTTTTTGCAGGAGGTTATGCCATATTTTGTTTACTTGTAACCCCTCTTCACGTTTGTTGAAATTGTTTTTGTGTGTGTGTGTATTTCAATTGCTTCTCGATGTGGTCTTGCGTGGTAACGTTTCTCTGTAGACAGAACTTCGGTGTTGTCGAATTTGATGTTGTGATCGCCATTAGTAAACACGTGTTCTGCCACCGCCGATTTTTCTAGTTGTCCCATGCGACAGGATCTTTTGTGTTCAGTCAAGCGCGAAGATATGGATATGGACAATGGAAAATCTCACAGATTATTATCTTTTAAATTTCAATTTAATATCAAAACGTAATTTAAATTACCGTTGTCACTGCTTTCAACATTTTGGGCTGCACTTTTTGACATCGTCAATAAAAAGTGGATATTTTAAAAATGTGCGTGAAATAAAATTTTCGAATGTATCAAGTGAGAACTCGATAAACGATGAAATAAACGGCTCATATACTCAGGGTGGAATATGCAGTTATATCCGATTGTGCGAATATTTCGATAGCAAAATAGTGAAACAATTCCACTGGTCAGCAGGTAGCGGTGAGATAGTTGGGCACGCAGGGGAAATTGCACGATTCGCTAGGAACTATTCTACACGTACGGTCTGAATACGCGAACCGGGTCGGCATTTACGCAAAGAATTTCGAAGGCGCCCCTGAACCCCTTCCGAAATTCCTGTATCCGGCGGCGTTCTTCAACTCGTATCTCTGCATGCCGTAACTGCAAAACTACGGTCCTCCAAATACTCCCGACGACGTTCTCCGACACACGTCGGTCGATACCGGTGGGCGAGAGGGAGGGATGTTCGCGATGCAACAACGATTAGGAGAGGGAGGTCTCCTCCCGGTTCCGGATGGGAGTTTTTGTCTCTCCGTTACATGGCAGCGCGCGCCCGTCAGTGTATATTACGGGTCTGAGGAGAATAAATCCCATTCGCGGACGTGACTCGCATAAACGCGTTAGACTGTCGGTACGCGTGAGAGGCATGCCGAGCCGCAAGCCCGGCAGGATTTGCAGGAACGTACACCTTCATTAGGAGACGCGGTAATCGCGTCGAAGGGCGGAGATATTCGGGGACGTCCCACCATAGCCGGACAATTTTGGGGGGGACAGGAACTACTTATTATGTAAATAATAAGTAAACTCGAATCTCCGGCTTCTGGAGTCACTGATCTATCCAGTCTTACTGTGGATTTTCTTAGACAGGCATTCCGTCAGGTCAAAATTGAAATTGGAACTAGTGCTTTTCTTATTTACTTAGTATTTTTTTCTATACTTCTTCTGACCATAGCATCATAGCTTTATAGTCATCTTTTTTGTCTACCTCTCTCTTGTCTTCTTTTAGAGACTACTCCATCTGATATTCTTCTCATGTAGCTTTGCTATTCTAATTGCACACTACGCTTTTGCTATATACTGGTGGGCCTAATAAACAAAATTAACGTTTTTTTGAAGGGCTTTGTTGTGGGGAGGGAGGGACAGCATTTCATTATTGAGTTATAGCTAAAATATCTCTGGAAAGTTACCGAAGTGTGTCTAGGAACGCAACATCTTAAACAATGACGGGTGTGTCTCGATTATGAATATCATTTCCTCTGCAAAGTTTATCGAACAAGTACGACAGGGTCTTGTTGGAGATTAGCAAAAAAACAAGGTGGCTAACTGAACTTTATATCGGTCCTCCAGCTTGAGCCAACCCGAATCAGAGAGGCACTGTGAAATATGGTCTTATTTTCTGAGATTGTACTGAAGTCGTTGGAGTCTCTCCTTATCTCGATTAAGTATAGCTGGCCAATAGACGATACTGGAACAAGCGACATGGGATAAAACTAACATATCATAGAGTTTAAGTTTGACTTAATGAGAAAATTATTATGAATATACAATTTTTGTAACACCACAAATAGCGACATTTAACGCTTCACTAGCAACAAAGGATAGATATAACTGAGTTTTATCGGCGTATTGATGAGATTTACAAAATTTAAGAAAAATAGAGAAGTCAGCTGTATAAACTGAAAACAGAATCGGTCCCAGAATATTTCCCTGGGAACACCCCTCTCCAAAGCATTGGCATCTGAATGAGCATTTCCTATAACTACCCTTTGGTTTCTCTGGCAAAGAAAATTTTTATAAAATGAAAGAATTTCAGTTTAGCTAAGAGAAGGAACTGATCCAAGGTGTCTAATGTTTTGCTATGGTCCAAGAGTATCGGCAAGAATTAGGAACCGAACTGACGAAGTTGTTTAGCTGCAATTTTTTCAATAATCTTTAATGCCACTTGGACACTCTTTTTTTGGAACGGTTAGAACTTCAGCTTGCTTCCAAAAGTCCGGAAAAACTCCGGCCAGTGATATGATCAACTAAATACGGAGTAGTAAAAAGAATGAGTTTTATATCAACATTGTCTGACCCATGAGCGTCAGTTTTATTAACTTCCTCAGGGTAAACTTTGTATTTGTAAACTTCATTGATTTAAAGCCACTTGAACCTGATCGTCAAGTAATTTATCAATACGTTCCTTTCTTCTCTTATTTTTAGATAGATATTTTGATGCCACATTTAATGAATATCGCAAAAAATAGCTATACGCCCTTGCTCCCGTAAAAAATGTTCCGGCATTAGAGTTGTTAGGGGGCGGCATCGTTAGGAAATGCCAAGAGCGCGTTCCGTATCATAGTCAGGCTCGGGGCCGCCCAAAACGACGGGCAAAACTTCCAGATCCGCCCCGCGGCCGGTTTGAGCGTCGAAAATTTAACAGTCGACTTCCGTTTTACGGCGTACCTGTAATGCCGTCGCCGCCGCCGGCGGCAGCATAAATTAGCTGCATACTGCCGTCGCGAATACCGATCCCCCTCGTCCCCGCCCCGCAGGTACTCCGGCGTGGAAATCGCGTCTCTGTGTCGCTGGCACGCGGCAGGAGGTGGAAGATTATGAGGAAAAAACCGCCGTCGTGAATTTTTGGAACGCCGACACAAAGTCATTAAAGGAGATCGACGCTTTCACTTATTTTTTGTGCCCGACACATTTTTTTTTGTTTTGATATAAACTTGAGTGCATAGAAATAGCACTAACAGAAACTACTGATCAGAGAAAAAACAACTGCTTGAAAGACAATTTAATATGCTTTAATACGAGTTTAAATGGATTAAAATTTATTTCTGCTTCTTTTAGTAAAATAACTGCACGAGTCAAATCATTTTTAACAACTCAACGCTTATTTTTTAATAATGGGTATGACCCCCATCTTGCCCTACTAACATCTCTTACTCCATCCCATAAACGTTGGATTGAATTGAGATAGGGACGGCATACTGGCCACTCGATAACGCGAAAACCGACTTCTGTAAGTAGTATGTATATCCCTTTTGACCATCCCCCGTTCCCCGGGGGAGATCTTGAGATAGCAAGTTTACAGATTGCCAACCAACCTTTTAATTTAGTTCGGCTAGTGTCCGAGAGATGTCGCGCATTAATAGCTCAGATTTTGGTCGCCAGATGTCACCCCTAAGTATTACAGATTCCCAAGCAACCCTTTAATTTAGTTCGACGAGAGATGTCGCACCCATAATAGCGGTAGGGGGTAGTTTTTGTGTTTGTGCTTTTTTGGCAATTTTTTTTTGACCCCTATACTTTACGTCGAGGGTGGCGAGTCCGGCCGACGGCGTTGCGTTTATATCGCGGAGCGAGATGATTAGGTCACCGAGGTCGCGAGGTCGAGAACAGAACAGATCCCCATTGAGTCCAATGTCCAATTCAGATGATCCCATGCAAAACGTAGGCGTGCTTTTCGATGAGCTCGAGCAAGTTTTGGTCCAATTGCAGTTGGTTTTGGGGTCAGGTTATTTTCCTTCAGTATTCGCACTTCTCCACTGACTAATATCAATTCTTTGAACTTCATGGAGCTGTTGTTGCCGTTGTAGCAAAGGATTCGTTGGCATACTTTTTGAACTGCTGCGCGTGTCATATCTAGTTGTCTTGAGCGGCTTTTTGCGGTGTAGTATACATAATTAGACGCATAATGTGAAAATTCCAGTTGCCTAGGCGATTGATTTAAGGCTATAATAAGTTTGTTAACCGTAACTACGCACATAAGAGGTAAGCATTCTTTGCAAATTTAAATTCATACTGAAGCATCATGTGTGATTCCCTGGGCGTGCATGTAAAAATGGAATTTTGTAAGGCACACAATGAAGACTGAGATAAATCGAAAGGTTTGTGAGAATCTATCAAATAAATACGACAGTATTTGTCGGGAACGCTATAAAGACAGAAAAATTCGGTAGAAACTACGAAAATTAGAAAAAGAGTTCGGAACAAACGTTTGCAGATGAAAAGGATCACTTAAAACTATCCGGAACTCAAGCCGAAATCAATCAAGGTGTCGAACGCTTTGTTATGGTCCAAGAGTATGGACAACAGTTTAATTCAGAATCCATTGCTCTCGAAGCAAGGTAGAAGTAGTGCTGTGAAGTGGAGGTTTTCCAAACGCGGGGAGAGTGGAGATGGCTAAATACTTCAAACGATCAAACGAACCCGGTCGTTCCGATGAATAAACGATGGAAGAAATAAACCGTGAACTTTATTATTCCGGAAAGACAAATGAAAGATTTTTCGTCAGTCGCATCCCCGCGAGCGCCCGGCGGCGATAAAAAGTGAAAAATAAGCGTCGTCGTTTCCGACGGGCGGCGGCGTCCCTCCACCCCCCTTCTTGCACCGACCCGCCCATCGCGATTCGGTATGAAATATAGCACGGCCCGGAACATTTCTCTTCTTTAAATCCTAATTAGGTTTCGTAATAAGCTAGGAAGCACGTCACGGTGGCGGAACGGGCTTTGTTCGTAACTCGGTAAAAAATATATATAGATATACCTGTGTGTGTCCTTTGGTGAGCCTTGAGGTGGGAACTTTTGGTGTAGACCTTTTTACAGCCCAAGAATTGGCACTTGTGTATCCTGCGCTTGCTGTCTGGCGAATGGTCGAGGCGGTGCTTGGTGCCGTTCGTCGGCGGCGACAGCGGCGCCGCCCCCTGCCCTCCGCCCCCACCTCTCGGTACCACCGATATGATTCGGGTAAGGCCCGACGCGCGCACCCTGACGATGGTGTTCCTGTGGTGGCCGTTGCCCAGACGGAGGCCGCACACGTCTAACTCGCTCGCGCTCGAGCTACCTGCGAAAAATACGGGGAAAACACCTATGAAAATGGTGTGAAAAATATAATCGGAATTGAGAAGTGGTGATTTTATGGTATTATAAAACTCGAACAGCAAAATATTTCCTTTGGCACACTCAAGTGTGACAAATTGTCGGTAGAAATGTTTTGTCGAATCAGGTTTTGATCGAGGCTTGCACACAGCTTTTCCATTTTTTTCATTTTAAATTGAAGACAAATCCGGTAAAACAACTATCAGCAATACGAACACAATGAAAAGAGACAAGACAAGAAATAGAAAAAACTGAAAAAAAAATTTAGTAAAAAAAAATAGAAAATTTTTGTTTTCCAATTTTTATGGCACTTTTTTGATATTTTTTAAATTACTTTGGCGGCTATTGCGTGCCCCATATGCCCCTACAAGTCCAACCTATAGGTATAGTCGCCCCGGGATTACTTTGACTTAATTGAATGAAATGAAACCATTAACAAAAAATTTATTCTTACTGACACCTATATTTCTTTCATTCTGATATATTTCATGAGTGTTGACCATTTGTGGCAGGTTGTGTGAAAAATGTGTATGAAGGTTTAATCAATAAAGAACTTTTTAAACAAGATTGCTTTCGAAAAATGGTCGCTGGGCGGACCAAATTCGTAGCGCCTAGCGTTTAGATTAAGTGTGAGAAATAGCGATCTTCATATGGATTTTTACAAACATCTCGAGCAGCGTATGTGATAGACGAAAACCGTAGATACAAAAATGGCAGCTCTCGATGGGGCCTATAATACTGTTTGAGCCAATTAGCCATATTTTTTATCAATTTTGATTTACGGCAAATAATTTGCTATGAAAAAAAGGGTCTTTTAGATTTTTGTCTATAATTGAAAAACCCTGTATATAATCGAAAAAGTGGTTGAAATAAAAGTTATAGTGCGTCTTTTGGTTTAAGAATTTTTCCGATCGGGGAAACAATTTTCGAGAAAATAACTTTTTTCTGGACGCCAAAATAACCCATAAAATATGTTCGAAAAATTTTAAAAAATACTTCTAGACTTTTGAATGAATATATATAATATAGCACAAAATATCCCGTACTATATGTGAAAACGTCAAATACAAAAATATTAGCATTTCATACTCTCGGTACGGCTAACATTCAAAAAAAAATACTTCGCTTTATTTTATTGCTCCCAATTTAAAGAGTCTAAATGTGGGTCCAGACTTCTACTTCTCTCCCAAGTCTGAAGTCGGTAGCTGTAAATTTGGGGCACTTACTATGTTTTTTAATGTTAATGTTGCTGTAGGAAAATTTTAATTTGGTAACTCCGACGGTTCGAAAGTAATTTTTTTAGTTTTTAGTTTTTTTTTTCGACCCTGACCATTTGTGTACCAATGGGGATCCCCTAGGACCTCCCGTTTCCGAGATATGTATTTCTTCTTGTTACGTTTAATAATATGTATATAACTTCTTTCTCGTATAACATCTTTGTGTCGGTATGTTCGCTACACCTTTGTCGAACAGCGGCGTCTCTTTATTTCTGAAATTTTGTACTTTCAATTTATTATAAAAATTAAAAAAAAAAACTGGTCATTTTGAGTCCCTTAGTTGCGTCGTGGTGAAACTGACTTGGGATGCGACGTTGATAACGAAATAATAGCTTTAACGTACGGTATCAGTCTAATTAATATGAACACGATAATTTTTTTTGTAATTGTAAAGAAAATTGGAGTTTTGGCTTCGAACCTGGTACAGAAAAGCCGTGGAAAATGGCACCCGATCCTTGCCGGAAATAATTCAGAAAAATGGCGCCCGTTTCGGCGAACGCAAAACGTTTTTCGATCTCTGTCATTCTTTCTCTTTCTCTCTCTCTCTCTCTCCGGTTCTCGTATCAAACGTTTAAATTTTTCAATAGCGTTTGGCGTGCGTCTTACGTAACGTAAAAATTTAATTCGAACCGAAAACGCCGAGACAAACGGCTTCACTCCGCCAGATTAAAAGATAAAACGGACGAAGTGGGACGAAAAAATAAAAATAAAAAACGGGACACAAACACAATACGAGACCGAATGAGAAGGGAGGCCGGGAAAAAGAGGGGGTCGGTTGCGCGGATGGGCATCGTGCCATTCGGCCAATTTACTGTACCCCACCGTCCCACCGACCCCACGTTTCGGCCATAAATATTAGTTTAATCGCGTCCCAGATGAAGCCGCTCCCGAAAAACTCGGCCGAGATTTATCCGGGCCGCCGCAGGGAAGTAAACAACCCACCGACATAAGGGCGACCGCGTTCGTTGTTAATGACCTAATGCGGAAGGAAGGGTGGGAACGAGGTTAATATGTTAAAGATAATAACTCTAATGCCTTATTTAAAACAAAAACAAGAATGGAAGGAAATTAATAAAATATATGACTTCATTTGTGTATATATATATATATATATATATATATATATATATATATATATATATATATATATATATATATATATATATATATATATATATAAAGGTTGTTCGGAAAGTCATTTCGTTTTTTCCCGTCAGAGGACTTAATTACGTTTTTTCGAAACCAACTTCACACTTAAGCCGCATAACCATTATATGTCTTGAGAGCTGATATTGCAAGGCTTGTGTGTGAAAAAGTTCTATTAATTCTACGCAGTAGTTTTTGGTTGGTGCCCTTTTAAATATGGAGAGCAATAAGCAGCATTTTCGTCATAATTTACTTTTTTACTTCAGAAAAGGTAAAATGCTGTCCGAGCGAGAAAAAAATTGACGGATGTGTATGGAGAAGGCGTGTTAACAGTACGCCAGTGCCAGAACTGGTTTGCAAAATTTCGATCCGGCAATTTTGATGTCGAAGATGCACCACGGTCTGGAAGGCCGGTCGAAGCTGACAAAGATGCGATGCGTTGATGCAAATCGGCGAATAACCACACGAGAGATCGGTGAGAGATTACATTTGTCGAATTCGACTGTTTATGGCCATTTGAAAGGCAGGGGCTTAACCTCGAAGCTCGATGTGTGGGTGCCCCATGTCCTTACGGGGCGAAATTTGTGTCGTCGCGTTGACGTGTGTGATTCGCTCCTCAAACGTCAAGAAAATGATCCATTTTTGAAGCGGATTATTACTGGGGACGAAAAATGGGTTGTATACAACAATGTTAAACGCAAGAGGTCATGGAGTAGAAAAGATGAACCGGCTCAAAGCGTGTCTAAAGCCAACATTCACCAAAAAAAGGTGATGCTCTCCGTTTGGTGGGATGTCAAAGGAATCGTTTTTTTTGAGCTTTTGCCGGACAATACAACGATTAATTCAGAAGTCTATTGTCATCAACTGGATTGAATGATTCACTTAAAGAGAAGAGGCCCGAATTAATCAACAGGAAGGGTGTAGTGTTCCACCAGGATAATGCGAGACCTCACACAAGTTTGGTCACTCGCCAAAAACTTTTACAGCTTGAATGGGACGTACTGCAACATCCACCATATTCTCCAGATCTGGCGCCTTCCGACTACTATTTGTTCCGGTCCCTGCAAAATTTTTTGGATGGCAAAACCTTTACCTCAAATGAAGATGTCAAAAACCACCCGAACCAGTTTTTTGCCAGCAACGACCAAAACTTTTATGAGAGGGGAATTATGTTACTGCCAGAAAGATGGCAAAAGGTGTTGGACCAGAATGGCCAATATATAATTTAATAAAATATTTATTCATTATACGAAAACTGTCTTTCATTGTTCCCCAAAAAAAACGAAATGACTTTCCGAACAACCCAATATATATATATATATATATATATATATATATATATATATATATATATATATATATATATATATATATATATATATATATATATGACATTTTTTCGGACTCGTCTTGTTTAAAATGCCGTCAATAAAAAACTATTTGACCCAAGACTTCAATTTTTTATTCGCAGCAAGATATATATTTAAAAGACAAAGTTTTATCGCGATCCTGGAGCTGCATTTATGTCAGGCGGGGAAATTTTGGCGCTAACCTCGTATTACTAGACTTGTATTTGCATTTTCATGGTCGCCAGGAGTTAAGCCGATTTATTTTTATGAAATATATCGAATATGAGAGAAAAGGATTTAAAAACAAAATTAAAGGTTTCGAAGAGGCGGGCGATAGTAGTTGCAGTGTATGTTCTATGTTATCCCCCCCCCCCCCCCACCAGCCCCAACTCCACGGCCCAATCTACTTATCTCGTGTTCCCGGACAAGTTTTAACGAACTTTCGGCACCTGCCCGTTTCGGGTTTTAATTATAGGAATTGACAGGCGGAGACTTTGGCCGGGCGACCCGAGCCAATTAGACCGACGAATTCGCGGAAACTTCGCCCGTCGCCGAAACTTAAACAAACTATTAACAATTACGGCGGCGACGCTGCGGAATTACGTTATAATTTACAATTCAATTCGTCGCGCGTAAAAATTAAGCGAAACACGGCGGTTAATCCGTTTACCGCGGGGGCGACACGGGGGCGTCGGCGCTCGGACCGCGACCCTCCTAGCTAAGGCGCCGTTTCAAAGTAAACCCCGGATAAATTTTAAGGCCCACTTACCGTTACTGTGTCCGGGTCCGGATTCCGGACTCGACGGTGGCGTCAGCGTCGTCGAGTTCCTCGCCACGAGCCTCAGCTGCAGGGTGTCGCCGTTCTGATGGTGCGCGTCGTACGAGTCGTCGTCTTCCAACTCCTCGTCGTCTATCGGTTCCTGTTTGACTAGGACGGCGCAGGAGAGGGCGCCGTCCCACGAGCAGGGCGAACTGGCCGAGCTCAGAGCGTCCAGGTGTCTGTGATCCGGATAGTCCTCGATGGAGGTGACCTCGTACCACGCGCCACAACTCGTCGCGTCGCCCGGCAGTTTCTTGTACGATTGCATCTTTTTCGGCTCGTCTTTGAGGTACCGTTCCATCTCGTAGCACGTCTGGAACCAAGAGAAAGGCACGTCAGCCCCGACCGAATTTCAAACTTTTATTTGCACATTTAGAAGATGTGCGCCAAATTGAGTTACTACGGTTTCGGTGACGTTTCGACACTCGATTCCTCCCTGTCTCATCGGGTGTACCGCAACGTTCCGTCCGTGGACCTATATTAATACTAATTAATATTTCTGATATTTATACATCCATCGAATATTTGCAGATGACACTCAGCTATTTTACTCCTTCGATTCTAAATGATTTGATATTGCTTCAATTTATACCAATTTAGATTGGCATTACTTATTTTTACATTCTTCTAACTCAACTCTTAATGCTAAAAAATTATGTGTAATTTTCTTTTCTCCAAACCCTAACATTGAACAAGTATCCCAAATGAATTTATTAATTAACGGTGAACGTTTATCTTTGTTGATGAAAAAGTCTTATTTTGTTTTGCGTCATTTATACAGCCATAGAACCGTCCTTAGTTTCAGTTGACGGAAACTTTTAGCTCAATCACTTGTCCATTCGATTATAAGCTATGGTTTAGTCCTCTATTATCCATGCCTTGATAGTACTAATAAATACGGATTGCATAAAATTCAAAACAGCTGTTTCAAATTTATTTTCGGCTTGCGTAAATTTGATAGGATTTCCCACTTAACTGGCTAAAAATTAACAGTAATTTCAAGTACTTTTTGGTTAGTTATTGGCACATCCAAACCGTCCTATTTACGAGCTAAATTACAATTTCGTAATGTTCAATCAGTGGCTTTAAGGCACCCCTATAGACTCTCACTGCCACGATATCGTTTATCTTTGTTCTACAGATGTTTTTCTTATAACGCTGGTGTTATTTTTATTATATATTCAATTAAATTCTTAAAAAAATATTGCAGGTTGAAACTGCTTACAAAACAATTTGATTTTCAATGATATTCTTTTTATGTTTACTTTTAATAACTTTCCATTGTTCCATACTACTATTACATTTATCTATTATACCATATTTAATTTGTCAATAAATGTCAACTTCCTACTTAGTTTTCAATTTAAACGTTTAAGAGGTTAAGTGGAGTAGCTTTTGCTAGACTTCGCAATAAAGCCAAAAGAAAACAGTAAAGGCAATTTATTATGTTTCAATTTCGACCTTAGGTGATCTTACCCATAAAGTAAAGAATTGCCTGTGTATTTGGATTTTACTAATTAAATCACCCTTCTAGTGTGTTTGGTACTTTCCTTCAAATTAATCTTAATTTATGATTCTGATTGCATTCTTTTTTCTCTCTGGAAAGATAAATCAGTCGTTACTTACAGATACTGCTTTTTGCTAGTGGTTTTACCTTGCAAATGTTATTCCTTTCATTTGTGTTCGGATGTATAAATATGTAATGGTATAGCGGCAGGATATCGAAAAGACTCCTTTCACGTAATTATTGTTTTGCTATTGTTCGAGCTCCAATGAAATACGGTAGAATCAGTAATTATTCTTGAAGCTTCACTGGTAGTTATAATCAAAATTGCTTACTTACGGCTGTTTGTTTTGAAGGCAATCTTTGCGAAGTAAATAATATTGAATAATATTAATCTGATCGAGAGGTTATTTATTCATACGTCAATCAGCCGGTATGCGATCTTCTTCGTTGCTTACAGCTACGTCTAGTAGGCAACCAGTAAAGTGCGTTAAGTGTCGCATTTTTGCATGGTCGGAGGAGTTTGATTTCGCTCCATAAGTAACGCCATTGTGTTCATGCTCATAATATATTTCCTTGCATTCTTTTTTTTTAACTAATAATTACAGTCGAATCACAAGGCAAGGTGCGCAACTATTCAACGATCGATGGTACCACCCGATAGGATACTTTGGTTACCTGTAGGGTTGAGCCATACATTGACTATCAATTTTATTCGCAGTATCGATACCTCGACTGAGAGAATTTACAGTACCTACTAGCTCTCTAAAAATTATATGTAGAAAATCGCGACGACTGCTACCCAGATACGTAATTTATTATAAAATTTCCCAGTTACATAATCTATTTGTTTTTTTTCACTATATGACTCTAATTTTCGTGTCTGATCTATCTTTATTAAGAATATATCTATAATAGTCTTTTTTAACTAGGATTCTTCTGTAAGGGTTTTATATCGCGAGAAAGATCAGTAGGAATCCGTAGACCTACGTAACCGACGCGTCGCGGAGATTCTTGCGGACATTCGAGTATTTTTTTGCCCAAGTCATCTCGTCCGAGTTATTAACGACGACCCTGTTACCTCAGCAAAGCAGGCTACCAACCATGTTCGATCGTCGCGCAATTCACACCGTCGTCGAGATTCCTTTATTTTTATTATTATTAGTATTGAAATTTAGTCACGATATTTTTTTTTCTTTTCAGTCTTAATTTATTTGCCTCAGTAAGTCAATTCTATCTCGTGATAATATTATTGGGCTTAATTAATGAATGTGAGCCGACGTGATCGCGAAGGTACGGGTCTAGATTACTAGTACTACAACAATTTAATTACGCACAACTTATTAAATTATATATAATATACATATAATTTACTTTCGTTGTCGTCCAGCTAGGGCATAAATTTGCACACACCTGGACATCCGTTACGACCTGCTCGCTGCTTTACTGAGTGTTCCTTACATACATTTTTCTTTTTTTTTATATTCCAATTTCCTAATTTAAATTTTCAAAAAAAAAACATGGTAAATTTATTATTATTATTATTATTATTATTATAAGATTATTTCTAATAATTGTCCCGTTACGTTTCCCGAATCCCTTCCTCGCGTCACCCGATATTTGAATAAAACAGCGTATCGGACTTCAAAGTGTCCGGAGAATCGATAAAGGCTCCCCCAATTTAGCTACGACGCGGGAGCGGAGCGGTCCCCCGCCGTTTGACAAAAGGAGACGGGAAATTTAATGATTGCCCCGCGTATAGCGACGGTAGTGGTAGTAGACTTCGGCGTCGTCCTCGCTTTGAGGGTGCCGAGATTGTTGTTTTTCCGTTTATACTTTTCCTTTCGCGAATTAATTCACCATCGAACTGCGATTTGTCGCACACAAACGGAAGAAAAGGATGCTCCGGCAGGCGGCCGGTCTTGCAAATGATGAGGACGCTATTGTCTGGACCGAAGTCTCGCGGGGTTGAATTGCTTCTCGACTCTTACGTTTCGTTCCACCTGGATGGGATTGGGTATCATCGGCGAGTTGTCAAGTTATTTTCATTTGGTCAACTGGCGCGATTGCGTGTTTGTACCCTTTCTGGTGGTTTTCCTATTCGTTTTTGAAGAATTAATATGGATTGTACACCGGAGATCCCTTTAACGTCCATCGAGTTTTATACGAAAGGGGAATGTCCTTAAACATATAGAAACCGAAGTTTTTGACATCCATCCACAAAGTTGGGCAAATTTTGTAAAACATATAGAGAAAGCAGAAAAATCGTACATCCATATTGCAAATAATATAGAGCAAATAATAATTAGAACAGGCGATGATAGCGATAGTTAGACTGATACATAAATACATACAAAAACAAATAAATATTGTTTAGTATCTTTCCTAACAAAACCCCAAATAATTAAATTCTAAACGAAGTACGGACCTGTTCGGCCATATTTCATTCTTACAGCTTGCCCGCGTCTTTCCTTAATTCGTATCACTTGCACTTTCTTATATCTTTGAACAGACCATACCGTAACATCCCTCGTTTAATGCGTGTATAAATTTAGTTTCGGCCGAAATATGGCGGCGTTAATCCCGTCATTTCCATAACACCATCGCAAGCCAATACGGGCGCGCGTATTCGAAATATTTTTCATTAAACGCACGACGCAAGGGTGTCCCCGGGACAACGCTTGAATAACAATCGACTGGGTAAGTTAATATATATCCCGCGGGTCACCGAAGACGGAACGGCCGTGAAAGCGACCGGGATGATAGTTTGCGGCAATAACTGTCCCGCGTTTATAACGAAAACCGTCATCTATCTTCGGAATTATATTACAAATGGGATAAAACGAGATCGGGAGTGTTTATCGTAGAAGCTATCTGTATTTTTTCGGATATTAGGAGAGAAGTGAAAACATTAATAGGTACTGTAAAGGATGTTACCCGAAACATAAACGACAACAATTAAAAGGCGTCAGATGTTATCCCGCGTAAATGTTTTTGGACGTTTTTCTTCGAAAGCATATACGAAAGACGGGACGGCACAAAAAAAAATCCCCGCTAACCGGAATTACCCCGTCGACTTAAAAATAAGCGTCGACGTTATACGGACAGAGAGAGAGAGAGAGCGAAAAGGAAACGTTGTAAATGGAATTTTTGACGGTGCTACGGTTTTTATCAAAACGTGCTTTATCTGTTAAATTCAGTTACGGTTTCCGTTCGTCGGCGTCGGCGGCGGCGGCGACGTTATGGGAAAAATGCACGTTAACACATTTCCCGGGCGCTTTCCGCACGGCCTCACCCGGAAAATAGCGTCACGTTTCGCGCCGTGAAATTTTTAAAAGTCGAAAATCAAATTATGAATCGAACGTCGAAGTCTTCCTTTTGTGCAACAATGTGTGTGTGTGTGTGTGCGCGCGAGCTTCAGGTGCGAGGGGCGGCCATAACGGTACGCCTCGATAATATCGTTAGGCGTTAAGGAAAATTCGGGGAAAAATTTCACGCCCGAACAAAAAAAAAACGCGGGAACGACGGGAAACGTAACGAAGCGCGAAAAGTCGATCCAGGTCCGGCGGGAGACGAAGCCAGGACCGAATTCGTTTAAAGAGAGACAGTTGTCCTGCATTGGGACTACTTCTATGCCACGGGACCAAAAGTGGGTGTTCTATTTCGGTCGCACCACATTTTTAATGCTTCCTTATCGTCCGGTGTTTTTCCTGATTACTGGAAATTAAGTTATTTAACGCCAATTCACAAAAATGGGGACAGAAGCAATATTAGTAACTATAGAGGTATATGCATGCAAGATGTCATTC